GTCACCGGTTTCCATCACTGAACAGGTCCTTGTGAATATGGGCCTTTTCCGTCAGCTATTCATCAGGCGAAAGTGTGTAAAAAAATGTTTTTAAATCCACTCCCTCCTCTGGATAGGTCTATCCAACGAGCGGTTGGAGGCAGTTTAGCGGTCAAACGACAGTGAGAGGAGTCTTCGCAATTCAATTGACATCTATCGCTCGCCTAAGCTGCGCAGCCGCCATACAATAAGGTGCCATCTCATTCACGCTCCGCTTATCTCATTGGGTGCATGAAACCAAGGGCCTATACCGAACGATGGACCGACAAACAACGCACCGGAGAATAACACACCGAATCGAAACCCAAGGGCCTTATTTGACAGGCTTCTAGAAGTTCCCACACGGGTGCTTCGGTTGCACCCACGCGTTGGATATACGTCCCAAGGCATAGTAGATTGAACTTTTGAGTCAAAGTCCCTAGTTAGTGTTCCCGAAAGAAAAAACCCTTCGTCGGTATGCGCTAACGCAAAGTCCCAGGCACCCAATCGGAAAACCACCATTCTCATCTACCTATTTCTTCCTCTCGCTGTCAAATCAGAAGAAATATCTCTCGTTCAAATCAATCGAGTTTTAAAGATGGAGGTTCATCGTTGATTTTGGAGTTGACGAAACTCCTGGACTCAATATGGGAGAAGGGACAGATTCCAACTGAATGATATGAATCGGTCATCTTATCGATTCACAAGGGAGATGATAGACTATGCAGTGCGAATCTCATTTGCAGCTCGTAGAGTGGATTTGAGACGAACAAATGTCAAAGAATTATGGTGATGATTCTGGATCAGATGTTGTGGGTTAGATGCGTCAAACCACAGTCAACTAGATGATAGATCTTGTGAAAATCACAGAGGAATTAGTTTAATCAACATCATCTCCAAGCTTCGCCGTACCATCATTTTTCGTCGATAGTCTGCCTCACGAGAAAGGTGCACGCGTGTGAATCAGGTTGATTTTTGACCTGGTCGAAGTTGTGTAGACTATATTTTCAACCTTCACTAAATTTTAGAACACATACACTCCTTGTGTAGACCCATCAACTTTGTGCTGGTGTTGGTGAGTACTCTAAGCTGGAAGTGTGGTTCGCAGACGTTTTGTAGCCAAGCTAGGCAACATCACCAGTGCGACTTCGGGGACTTCTCCAAAACGTCGGCGAACAACACTCCCAGCTCGGAGAACTCACCAACACCAACATACGCATCCTGAGCTACCATCATTCCACATCATCTCGATCACCATCTTTGTATTCCTCGATCTGACAGAGGTGTTCAACACGGTTGATAGCTCTATATTCTGTTACTGTCTTCCAATGAACAGTATCTCAGAGAAGTTGATTTACGATTACTTTATACTATTAGCCGAAGTCGAATCCTAGCTTACAGCACTTTTTCGCCCGAGTTCACCACGGAAAGTGGTGTCCCTCAGGGTTACTGTTTCCCTTGAATTTTCCATTTAACTTCGTTATAGATTTGATTCTGGAAATAGACCTATCCTCGTGCGACGAAAGTGGTATCGATTTGCTCCCAGATGGCAGACTGTTTGATCTGGAATATGCAGACAACATTGTACCGCTACGTGAAGACCCAGGTAAGTTGCAAGATTATCTTGAGAGCTTGAATATTAGCCTAGCCATCTTCGGTATGCATTTTGCACCTCCAAAATGTAAAATGTGGTTACAAGACTGGGATGGTCCAGCACCCAGCCTTTCTTTAACTGAGAAATAATAGAGCAAGTGGACAAGCTTTATTACTTGGACAGTTATATCGCACCCGGCGAGCGCGTCACAGATGAAGTATAAGCTCGCATACAGAAGGCTCGGTTGGCATTTGCCAACTTGAAACATCTGTGGCACCGTCGTGACAGCCGGTTGTCTGTGAAAGGCCGAGTATATGCTGCAACAGTTCGGTCAGTTGTGATATACGGCACAGAAACTTGGCCATTAAGAAAACGGGATAAAAATAGACTGTCTGTGTTTGAACAAAGGCTGTCTACGAAGTACTGTACGAATCTGGTGTGGAAGCCGGATAATGAATGCTGAAATAAAGATTTAGGCATCCACAGTAGACCAGAAAAAAGTTCAGCCTATACAGATTATGTTGGTTGTGGCATAAGTTATGCAGGTTACCAAATAGGTTTCTATGGTGATCATTGTCTGCCATTGCAAGTAATGGATTGAAAGAAGGGATGGTTAAACTAGGACCCCGGGGAAGGTTATGAAAACCCTAACCACGAGGATTGCTCACAGCCATCATGTTAGGTTTCCTGAATGGGGACCTCGAGATCAGAGTAACCGATGGTTGAAAACAGCGATATGAGTGAGTGTCATAAACAG